ATTTTATAATCATCTTCATACTTGCTATTATAGCAAGTATAAGGATGCTTAGCTACAGCATTATCAGAAAATTTAGCATCATAATAGTCATATATTTGACATCTTGGATGGTTGTACGGGTACTTAAATCCGCTGCTTGAGAAGACATAACTTGCACCAATAGCATCTAAAAACTCAGGCCGATTAGCTTTATTATTAGTATAAGTATAAGCACCATGATGACTGACTTTGTAGATATCAGACTTAAGATCAGGTCCTGCTAGATCTAGAAATAGTCTCATATGGTCCTTCGGTAGTTCAAAGTCACCAGTGATTAGTGTAGACTTACCAACGTAAGTTACCTTGGAAATAATGGAGTCTTCATTATTAGCTTCATCACCAGCATGAACACACTGTTTATAAGCAGAAGCAACAATAGAGAGTGTGACACTATTAGCAGCATTAGGATCAGGCTGATAATTAGGACAGAGGTTCAACTTTTTGGCACAATCCTTGATACTGTAACAGTAAGGTACTTGTCGAGGATCTGCATTGTTACTGGATATATTTTTCGTATATGTGGCCCACTCACAAGAATGATATACAGGGACTTTTTTGGCATAAGAGTTTAATATATGATTCATATAATTGATGTGGTCTTTATCAGAGTGAGTAAGGACTACAAGATGAAGTTCAGTCCCAGCAAGAAAGTCCACAATATCCGAGTTTTTCATTCCTAGAAACTTACTGGACCCAGCATCAATAATAGTGACTGTTCCTTTAACAGGATCACCATAACCAAAAGGACACTGTATCACAGTGCAGTCCCCCTGACCCACTGGTAGGGCGTAGATGTGTAACTGATCATCAGCATCAGGTATTGGAGGTATAGACACAGCTACTTTGAATAACAAAGAAAGAATATCAATAAGACTCATCTTCATATACTACAATGTAGCTACCAGGAGAAAAAACAAACAGAGAGAGAGAGAGAGAATCGCTGTAGTAAAGATTGCGTGATATTCTTTAATGTAGCAAACAAGCCATGAATAATAGTAACTGACCAATCAGATTACAACTATAAATATCATACATAAAAAACTAAAAGTCTACAACTAAAAATCAGTTTATTTTTTTCTTATTTTATCACTTATACGCTTTACAGCAACCCCAACAGAAGAAGTGCCACCTCCAAAAACTCCACCCACACCAGCCCCCACTCCAGCTCCCACACCAGCTCCTATTGCAGTACCTACAATAGGTACTATAGAACCAACTGCTGCTCCAATACCACCACCTGCTAGAGTTCCAACACCAACAGAGGCAACAATAGCTCCTACTTCAATGGTTAGACGGTGTTTTGCATATGCTTTTAAAAAAGAGCGAGTTTCATTGCTGCAATGATCAATACACGTGTCCCACAGTGTTTTCACCCAATCGTCTGTTGTAGGCAACTTCCTTTCATTTTTTCTACCAGCTATGCAATATGGTATTTTCTCCAATACTTCCTTTTTAACACGATCAGCTTTAGAAAGAAATTCAACAATGTATTTTTTGTACTCTTCACTTTTCTCTTCTATTGCAGCCTTTGGGTCACTCACAGTGCTTTCAAGTGTAAGGAATCGGTTTGCCTGTGTTAATACAACAACTGTCCTCTTCCACATCTCTTCCTTTAACACAGAGGCCAGTGATGAAAACATGCGACGATTAGCTCTATCTTCCAGCTTGGCACATACGAGGATCAGATCATAATTATCATGCTCATCAATTTCATACAAAATATTAAAATCAGTTCTGCCTTCAGTATCGCCAAACCCAATGGTATCATAAACCCTTATCTTAATCCCTTTGCACTTTCCTTCATAAGCTGTTATTTCTGATGTAACGGCTCTTGCTCCATGTCCAACCTTTGCTACATCCTTCCCAAACATAGCATTGATCAGCTCTGATTTACCAACAGCAGTAGGACCAACCACTAATATAGTAACAGGCCTTCCACTATCACGTAGCTTCTTTATCTTAGGATCAACTTCTTTAGATGAAACAACACTGCCTTCAATGTTTTCATTCCCATGGACTGTAGTTATATCACTGTCATCTTTTGTTTCTTCTTCTATAGCTATAGACGGAGCTTCAGCCATACTAACACTACAGTGTTTGTTTCTCTGTAACTTGATAATGTAACAAACAAGCCATTAATAATAACAGTAGATCTAACCGACCAATCAGATTACAGATTAATAATTAATTAATCAGACTAATTTCATAACCATAAAAGCAGACACACCCCCAGTAGCAGTAGCTCCTCCTCATGCAGCCCCCATTCCACCTCCAACAACAGCTCCAACACCAGTTCCTATTGCAGTACCTACAATAAGTACTACAGAACCAATTGTAGCTCCAATGACAGTACCAACAGCACCTCCACCTACTGCACTTAACCGGCTAGTTGGCTACATAAAAAAGGTATTCTATCAAGTATCTGGTATCTAACTTCTAACTTGACCAAAGATAAAACTACAATTTGGTGCTCAAATTTTGTGACTTGATCTTCTAAATCATTCTTTTGCTACAAAGGACTATTATTATCTTTGATGTTGTCCAAACTAATGAAGACATTAGCAAGAATAAGGTACAACTACTGATCTGTTCTACTACACATCTCCTCGTTTAACATTCCCAGTAATCCTAGAATCCATTCATACACAAACTAATATCAAATCAAACCGGCCAGCTTTTAGCCATCTCAGATTCAACATTTCTACTCCTCCTTCCCTTAAAAATTTGTAATAAATCCAAATGTGATCGGAATCAGCTCAAACTTTTTACAAAACATAAGAACGTGTATATGTATCAAGAAATGGTATAAAAACGGCAAATTCTTTTGGAGAAATTTTTGATAGAATACCCTGCATGCACTATAATACATCGTTAATTATTATTATTAGCTATCAGCTCCACCCACAAATACTTAAACAATACATCGTAATACATTATTAACTAACAGTTCATTAATAACTAACTGTTTGCTCAATGACAGTTGGAATGATCGGAGAATAATGAACAATATTTTGATGCAACTCTCTTAAATTTTGAGAATTCCTGACATTTTTCCAGGCATGAAGAAATGGTCTAAATAAAGTTTAAAATTAATTACTAATTAATAAATAATAATACCTTTTAAAACATTTATGCAGCAGCAACATTATTCTTTTAAAAATTATAATTCTTTAATTTTGTCTTTTCAATATTACACATTCTTTCAATTAGAAATACGGTGCAAAACTTGAATTCAATTTTTCTCAATCCTTTAATTAGAAATACGGTATAACAAAATGGCCGCCGTTCCCGTGTTAGGAACTGATGAGAATCCTGGCCCCCAGAATCCTGAGACTAAAGCAAAAACCAATCTAATCGTAAACTACCTTCCCCAGACCCTAACGGAAGAGGGACTGAAGCAGCTATTCTCCCAGTTCGGGGTCGTGTTGAGTTGTAAATTAATAAAAGACAAATCCTCTGGTGAGTGGTGGGACAGACCTTTAATCAGCCATTTTAAATGTAACGTACTCACAAATACATGAATATTACCTTATTTGAGGGTTCAATTTGACTTTGGGTGGGACTTTTAATAAACGGTTGTGAGGTGTGAAATTTCACTTGTTCCAGACCCCTTGGAGGAATATTGAGAATGGGGGGAGGGTAATACCATTAATTGTACATATTTGTACATGTACATGACTAGCTACACTCTCCTTCCTTTAGGTATTTCCTTAGGGTATGGGTTTGTTAATTACGGGTCAGCCGAAGAGGCTGAACACGCCATTCAAAAGATGAACGGTACAACACTAGAAAGCAAAACACTGAAAGTGAGCTATGCCCGTCCTTCTTCAGTTGCCATTAAAAATGCCAACGTCTACGTGGCTAACCTCCCCCCACAACTCTCCCTCACTGAACTAGACGCTCTATTCCAGCCGTACGGTACTATCATAACCTCTAAGGTACTTACTGATGAGGACACAGGTGCTGGCCGAGGAGTTGGGTTCGTCCGATTCGATAAATACACTCAAGCTGAGGTTGCCATAGCAGCTCTAAACGGCAAACAACTAGTGGGCGGGACACAGCCTTTACTCGTTAAATTTGCAAACCCACCGAAAGCAGCCACGCCCCTAACAGGGACAGTCCCGGGCGGACTAGCTAATCAAATAATGACACAAACTCAGAAACGTTTAAACAACAATGGCTCCAGCTCCAGTGCGGCCTCTTCCATGAGTTATACTAGTACTAATGGAGGGAGCGTGGGCCCAATGAGACACATTCCAACTGTCAGCAACATGAGGTATAATCCTGTCTCTAGTCTACCTACCGCCGGCCTACCCACTGCTGCTGGTATGGTCAACCCTGCGGCAATGGCCGCCCTCACTGGAATGACAACTGGCGTACCTAATCTGGCCAATCTGGCACCTGTTGCCGGTGGTAACGGTTCCACTATGACATCACCAGGTGACCCCAGTTACTGTGTCTTTGTCTATAATCTTCCTGAGACCTGTCAAGACTTCCTGCTATACCAGCTGTTCAGTCCGTTTGGTGCCATTACTAGTGTGAATGTGATCCGTGATCTTAAATCAGGTCTGTGTAAGAGGTACGGGTTTGTTAACATGAAGAGTTATGAAGATGCCTGCAGTGCCATAATGACTCTTAATGGCTACGTCCATGATGGGAAGACACTCCAGGTCTCCTTTAAGAATCAGAAGAAGTAGATTAATGATGACTGCAAGAGAGAAGGCTTCGTTCTTCAGCTGTTGTGTATAATATTATAAGTAAGTAATGACGTACTTTTCCTCCCCCCCCCTCTCTCTCTCTATCTCTCTTTGTCACAAACTGATCAGAAACTTACAAATTTTCTTTATTATTATTAATTATTATTATTATTAATTAAACTTTCCCATATTATTATTATTATTATTATACTTTTGTTGATTATTTGTTTATTATTATTATTATTAATTATCATTTATTAACGAAAAATATTAAAAATTTTTTGAATTTTTGCGTTCTTTATTATCGTTAAAGATCACCACATTTCATCAAGTAATTAATTTATTAATGAATTAATTATAATTTTAGTTAAAAGGCTTCAATTTGAGTTCTTATAATTTCGTTTTTTTCAAGTTCATTATTTACAGTTTCTTCTCTTGCAAATTTTTGTGTGGTTCATCAAATTTTTTATCATTTCGTGCCTTCAAGGTAAAGTAATGAATGTCATTAGTTAATTCATTTATTATTATTATTATGATTTAGTTTTAATTGAACATATGATTTGTAGCAAAATAGTTAAATGACCTTTTCATTTTTTTACCCCTCCTTTTATTTCTCTCTCTCTCTCTCCTCCAGTGTGTTTGGTCAGTTTACAATGGAGACTGTGTTAGGAGCTGCTTTTGGTTCTCAAGTTAATGTATTAAAAGGAGAGGGAGACTCACTCACCGAATTGAAGAAAAGGCACTGTTTATTTTTTAATAACTATTAATAATAAAATTTATAAGCAGCCACGCCCACGAATTGTCTGCAAATTACTGAAATTAGTTCAAAACAAAATGGCACTGTTAACTGGTAGAACGAAGATAGTTTTAGTCGGAATCGTTGCCTTCCTGTTGCTGCAGCTAGTCCTCTACGAAACTGCTGGTCTTGACTGGTATAAAAAGGTAAGATACAGACCCACTAAGACATAAGTTTACCGGCTTCTTCTTAATCACATTTCAAAGGTGTTCCAAAGTTCAGTTGTGACTAAAGATGACGTCTCCTCAGTCCAGCATGTTGATAACGAGCAATCTTCTACTCAAGAGACATCAGTGGGACCAGCTGGCTCACGTCCTGCCATTACTCCCAATAAAGACAATAGACCAGTGAGTGAGTTGTATGTATATTAGTAGCAACTGGTGTTGTAAGGGGGTGGGCAGCCATTTACTGTATAAGTGGATTTATTGAATTAATTGCATTAAATAAAAAAAGAATACAATTTAATATACGTTATGTATTGTGTATTGAAATTGGATTACTGTTTGTTAGGTTGATTAACTTAACATGTACAGTACAGTACAGTAGTTATGATGACATAAAGCTTCAGTTATTGCATTCTATTATTAATTAGGACCATTGAACTAATGGGGCTTCTTATGTGAGCATGATTCTGGAGCAACTTTAAAAATTCCTAAAAAATCCAATTTTGATCGGAATCAGCTCAAACTTTCTCCACAACATAAGTACATGTATATGTATCAGGAAATGTAATAAAATTGAGGAATTCTTTCCTTTTCATTTTTGGCAAAATTTGGCCAAAATCCCTGTACTATAGTACAGGGACTTTTGTCCGATTTTGGAGCAACTTTAAAAATTCGTAAAAAATTTAATTTTGATTGGAATCAGCTCAAACTTTCTCCACAACATAAGAACATGTATATGTATTAATAAAAATTATAAAACTGGAGAATTTTTTACTTTTCATTTTTGGTGAAATTTGGCTCGTGACCCTGTACTATAGTACAGGGACTTTGGTCCAATTTTGGAGCAACTTTAAAATCCTGTGGGAAACCCTGGGTTAATTCATTAATTAATATTTGTTTTCATTTATTAAATTATTTGTTTTCAATTGCTATGTGTAGGCTTACAAGAAAGCATTTCAACATCCGAAGACTTATGAAGAGCTTTTTATACTAATATCAACTGATTACATTGTAACTAAAAATAAAACATCTAATAATAGTAACACTATGTGCTATTTATAGGTTAGGAGACTTGGTTATATTGACTTGAGACAAAACAAAACAGCAACCATACGACTGATAGCAATGCAAGATAAAAGAAAGACCCCACCTAAGCCGCTTTTTATGAACGTACATTATTCTGATTCTAAACCTACTGCATGTCTACCCACCAAATGGGACTGTGGGGGGCTAGGGGGTCTGGATAACTACGAGGTTTATCTGGTAAAGACCAATGTGTTGAATCCTGATCAGTATCAATTAGTATCTCACATCACAGTATCAACTAATAATGACTGTAGCAGTGAGAGTGGTGTTATCCCCATACAAACCATTAAACCCAAGGAATATGATCATAATTTTGGTGTTTGTATTCATAAAGGGATTGGACCTGATTTCAAGCCTAAGATACTCCTGGATTATGTGAAGATGCACTTGGCAGTAGGAGCTGAAATAATAACAATATACATACAGACTGGGGCAGAAGGAGTCTATGATATATTACTACCATACATTAATAAAGGAACTGTTGAAGTATTGGACTGGAAGCTAGAGCCTAACATTACTAATGGAGGCTCCCATCATTACGGACAGACTGGGATAATAACTGAATGTCTTTGGCGTAATATATATCGAGTGAAGTACTTGGGTATGAATGATGCTGATGAGTTCTTTATTCCGGTACAACATAAGACGATATCGGAGCTGATGTCCGATATTGATAAAGCTCCTACTGCAACTTTCGGTTTTCCGAACTTCATGATGAAAGGGAATGAAATGCTGCCAAAAGTAGCTAAAGCGTTGAGTTCAAACAGCTGCTCTGAGATAAAGAAGGACTCTCTACCTATTTATTACACGAGGAGCAAAGGCTGTGTCATGAGAGGCCAGTACGTTCAAAAGGTTATATTTCGTCCTGAAGCTATTTATATTCCTTGGGTCCATCACCTCATCAAGTGGAGGAGGGGAGAGTACAGAGAGGAGCTTGTGGTACCAGAGGATAAAGGACTCTCCTATCATTATAGAGATGGTTGGTATGACCGACCTGATACTAAAGACAGGCAATGTTCTACTCCAGATTATGAGGCTACAGTGGTTGAGAGATATATCAAGGCAATCACTGGCTGTGATATTTAACGGATTAGGTTCCACGGACACTTATGGATTATACTGCTGATATTAAAACTATTTTATAAACTCTTTATTACTATTTAATGTAATAATATTTATGGTAGACATTTTTTGACCTTAGTTCGATCCCCCTGAGTGTTACATCTATTAAAGTGATATCTGCAGTGACAGTAGCCATTTTATGCTAATGCATATTTTTGATTTTGGAGTCAATTTTTACAATAAACAGGTCATTTACTATGTTGGTTCCAGTACTTGGCACTTGACAAATACATGATGCTGCTAATTTGACAACATTTATTAAACAGTTTGAGCCAAGTTTAAGGAATGTTGTAAAGTACTAGACTAAAATGATTATTGCAAACATTGCAGTTCTAACATTTTCACTAATTAGCAATCCTTAATTACTAAATATCACAGCCTGTCAGGATCTTAATATATTTCTCAATGACTGTTGTATGATACTCTGGGACTGAACATGACTTGTACTTCTTCCAATGTGACCTGTAATGGTATGACAGTCCAGTATCTTCAGGTAGTTTATACTCTTCAATGTATTCCCAACTACGAAACTTTATCTGACAATGGACCCATGGGAGGTATATTGCTACTGGCCTGAAGACAACTTTCTGCACAGCCCTGCCTCTCAGCACACAGCCTCTGCTCCTGGTGTAGTATATAGCAATGGGCTCATTCCTTAGCTGGGGACATGTTCCTGATTGCAATGCTTTTGATACTTTGGGTAGCGTCTCGTTACCTTTCATCATGAAATTCGGGAAACCAAAAGTTGCCGCTGGAGTTTTTGAAACTTGAGGAGTATCAATATCAGACATCAGCTCTGATATTGTTTTATGCTTAAGAGGAATAAAGAATTCATCAGCATCATTCATACCCAAGTACTTCACTCTGTATGTATTACGCCACAAACATTCAGCCAGGACTCCAGTCTGCCCATAATGATGGGAGCCTCCATTAGTAATGTTGGGCTCTAGCTTCCAGTCCAATACTTCAACAGTTCCTTTATTAATGTATGGTAGTAATATATCATAGACTCCTTCTGCCCCAGTCTGTATGTATATTGTTATTATTTCAGCTCCTACTGCCAAGTGCATCTTCACATAATCCAGGAGTATCTTAGGCTTGAAATCAGGTCCAATCCCTTTATGGAGACAAACACCAAAATTATAATCATATTCCTTGGGTTTAATGGTTTGTATGGGGATAACACCACTCTCACTGCTACAGTCATTATTAGTTGATACTGTGATGTGAGATAGTGATTCATACTGCGTTTGAAACAGTAGATCAGTCTTCAGTAGATAATTCTCATAATTATCATACCCACCACCAATAGCACCATAGTCCCATTGTGTTGGCATACAGTGAGGTCTCTTCCACATTGTATTGTAGTGAATATTGATATACAGTGCTACTGGAGGTGCTTTTCGTTTATCTTGCATTGTTATCAATCGTATTGTTACATTTTCGACATCTCTTAAGTCAAGATACCCAAGCCTCCTTACCTATATTAATATAATAAACAATGTATGTGTATATACCGTATACCAGTTTATTTTCGCAGTAGAAAATTTTCGCGAATGGAAATGCAGAATTTCGTGGTGGAAAAACTTTGCAACTCAGCAAAAAACCGCAAAATTTGTGAAAATATTTCACCGCAAAAATAAACTGGTGTACGGTATATATTTGTACTATATAGTATGTGGGTGTATCAAAGGCACCACCACAAGTTTAGTGGAGACCACAGGAGGGATAATCTAACTGTCAATACTGCATGGTAGTTAGAGGACAGACCCATTCATAAACCCATACACTATAGTACAAACCAGATAAACTATCACAGTTTCCTGTTACTACAAGATTAGAAGCCTCCACTTCAACTAACATCCTCTTCTAATCAACTAATTAACATCTACTAGGCAAATTATACTAGATTAATTTGGAGCATAATAAGGCAAATTACTATCCTGGCATAATGGGTCAACATTTCTGGCTTACCACATGATTTAAGTACTATAATAAAACAACCCAACTGCTCACCTCTCAAGCCATGCAAGTGTGGTGAGTCCAATGGCTTAGGCTGTGCTATTCTCCAGTGACTCAAAGTCTGAAAAGATTTTCAGATTCTGGAGGGCATTATTATGATATTGCAGTTATAACAGATGCATGTACATTGTACATGTAACTTCATAGTTGAGTCTTGAGTAAAGCTTAAACTATGAGCCTATAATGAGCTTATAATTGGATTTCCTACAAAGCATACTAGGATGGAATTTGGAGCAGTGCCTAAGATCTTAATAGATATAAACTGAATCATAATTTGCCTAGCTTACTAATTAACACCCTATAAGTTACATATCTCTTAACCTACTATGTAGTCACGTGACACCAGTATCCACAAGTCATCAATAGTTTGTGGATGATGAAATGCCTTCTTGTAATATCCAACCTAACAATTAAAAATATAATTATAAATAATAATAACTTGATCTTGTAAGATACTGCGTTGTTGTGCATGTGGAAACAGTATCCTTTTCTATGCAATGTACAACAATCCTTTCATGCTAATAACTGACAAAATCCTAGTATCCTACATCTAAAGCCCGCCATGCACTGAGCAGCTTGTGGTCAGACCTTTCATGTGGTCGACCAAAACTGAAGATACTTGCAACAAGTTGCCTCACCATATCAAAGCCAGAGCAACGGACATGATTGATGATTCAACATTGATGCCAGTCAGGGCTGTATCAAAAGTATCAGGCTTGAATCATTGATTTTGGGTTTAATCAACCTGTATCAGAGATGATAATTCTTGGCTGCGTATACGTGGTTCAAGCAATCTGATTGGGATGCCAATTTCTCTGCATAAGGCACTGCCACATTTTTAATGGCAATGTTTCCAGACCTTTTATCCGTAGTCTACTCCGATCTGCAGGTAGTGAAGGGACAGGGTGAGACTAAACCTATATAGTACTTTATATGCTTCTTAATTATATATAGGATGATTCTAAAGGACTATCCACTATACAGTGTATCCCACAACTCACCGAACTGTATTTTGATCCCTCAGGCTCATTGCTTCTAACACTGACAGAATCATAAATCTAAGGAACTGTACTGTACAATCATACCACAAGTAAATGAAGTACTTTTTTGAACCAGTCAGCTCCTACCAGTTGGTACAGGATCACTTGCACCAATAGAACTGCAACAATGACACACAGAAGAACAAGAGATAATGATCTTGCTCCAATAGATACCATTTCTGATTTCACAGCTACGATTATTAACTAAAACGGCGCATTATTTAAACCTTAATAAACCGCTATAGTTAATTAACATTATTAAAGTTATGTAGCCCTACTTCTTTGATAATAGATATGCTTTGATATTGATGAATATCAATACTGCATTATATCAATTAAATATCGTGAATTTTGATAATACTGCCTGGCCAGTACTAATTCATAAAAAAGACTTGAACAATCATGGCACACACAGCAGCAGCTGTCATTATTATGTACACATTGTCTACCATTACACTCTCAATGGTTTCAGTCCTAGCTTCTCTCTTAGTTCATTTGCTTCTTTTATTTCAAGTTCTTCCTCCTCAGTCATCTCCTTCTTACTGCTTGACTTCTTTTTGCTTTTCTTCTTTTCTTTCTCTTTCTCTTTCTCAGCTCTCTTCTTCTCCTTCTTATGCTCCTTTTCTCTCTCCTTTTCTCTCTCCTTCTCTCTCTCCCTCTCTCTCCCTTTCTCTCTCTCTTTCTCTTTCTTGTGTTTTCTCTCTCTTCCTCTCTCTTCTCTCCTCCTTCTCTCTCTATCTGGTGATCGTCTTGACGACCTAATTAAATCAATTAATAAAACTTTCAATTAAATAATTATTCATTACTTGTGAGGTGACGGAGACCTCCTGTGTCTATGGTAACGATCAGGAGGAGACCTTGAACGACTAATAAATAAATAAATTAATAAATAAATAATTATTGCATTAATTAATTAACCTTCTGTTGTATCTGTGTCTGTCAGGAGGAGTATAAGATCTTGATAAGCTCCGCCTCCTTCTAGGAGAATAGCTTCGGCTACGTCTAAAACAAGAGCAACATTTAAATTAACATTTTAAAGACCCTCCACTACATTCACTGACACTATAAATACTGAACTGTAAGTAAAGGTACATGTATTATTAATAGTGATGAAGGCCCTTTCCTAATAAGGTCGTGTGGTAGTTCCATGATACAGTAATACCTTCTTGATCTGACGTGAGGTGAAGCTGATCTTGATCTCCTCTCGGGTGAGGGGGACCTCCTCTTTCTCCTCTCCTCCTCCTCCTCCTCCTGCTCCTCCTCTTCTTCTTCCTCCGATAGTTCAGCATCTAAATCATCATCAAGAGCACTCACCTAATTAATTAATCAATTAATTAATTAATTAAATATTCATGACTGACTCTTGGTTCCAGCTGCTCTGTTTCTTCCAAAATATGTCTCTTCTAAAAATAAATATAACGTGATATTAATTGATATTATTATTAATTAATAGTTAAGGAAATATTATTATAATTAATGAACCTGAATTCTAGGTAATATCACATCACAGACTCTGTCCTCTCGCAGTAAACTGTCAACAAATTCATCAACATGAGACAATTCAAACTCTAAATAAACAAACAAATAAATAAATAAATAAATAAATAAATAAATGTGTTATTTGTAAATTTGCATTCTTACTTCCTTGTCTATTTTTATATTTTATTTTCCGGTAATCATTATACAGAGGCTCAAGGTATTTATAACATTCAACAGAAGTACCAACAATCCTCAGATACAGTGAACCTAGGGCCCTCACGTATCTAAAAATAGTAACAACAACATAAGAACATGTACATGTATCAGATAAAATTATGAAAATGGAGAATTCTCTCCTTTTCAATTTTGGCAAAATTTGGTCTGAGACCGTGGGCTATAGTACAGGGACTTTTCATAATTTTGACGTTTTTTAAAATGGCCATAATTTGAAAAATTGAAGTCGGAATCAGCTCAAACTTGCTACACAGCATAAGGACATCAATATGTATCTGAAAATGCAATAAAAAGTTGGGGTGATTTTGGAGCCATTTATTGAAAAAAAACCATGGGCTATAGTACAGGGATTTTTTTAGAATTTTGACGTTTTCTTAAAATGGCTGTAACTTGAAAAATTGAAGTCGAAATCGGCTCAAACTTGCTACACAGCATTAGGACATCAATATGTATCAGAAAATGCAATAAAAATTTGGGGTGATTTTGGAGCCATTTTTTAGAAAAATCCCTGTACTATAGTACAGGGATTTTTTTAGAATTTTGCCGTTTTCTTAAAATGGGCGTAACTCGAAAAATTGAAGTCGGAATCAGTTCAAACTTGCTACATAGCATAAGGACATCAATATGTATCAGAAAATGTAATAAAAATTTGGGGTGATTTCGGAGTCATTTTTTGAAAAAAACCATGGGCTATAGTACAGGGATTTTTTCAGAATTTTGCCGTTTTCTTAAAATGGCCGTAACTTAAAAAATTGAAGTTGGAATCAGCTCAAACTTGCTACACAGCATAAGGACATCAATATGTATCAGAAAATGTAATAAAAAGTTGGGGTAATTTTGGAGCCATTTTTTAGAAAAAACCATGGGCTATAGTACAGGGATTTTTTCAGAATTTTGCCGTTTTCTTAAAATGGCCATAACTGAAAAATGAAGTGGAATCAGCTCAAACTG